CGCCAGGTTCAACAGCTTACTATGAACCGTCGTCGTCCTAGCCGATCAAAATCGCCCTTCAAACGTTCCAAGTCTAGCAACAGGCATGCCAGCTGTTGGTACCATCAACGTTTTGGTACCGCAGCTCGTAAATGTGTCAAAACATGCAACTTCGCCGAAAAGCAGGGAAACTTCTCGGCCGGTCCGTAACGGCGGTGGACGCGACCGGCCAACACCAAAGTCGCCTCATCAGCGTTAGGGATTTAACTTCCGGCACGGAGTTTCTAGTCGACACTGGAGCCGAAGTTAGCGTTATACCCCGTAGCCCAGATGAGGTCATCTCACCATCGCCGACCAAGCTGCGTGCCGCCAATTGCACACCAATAGCAACTTTCGGCGAAAAGCTGCTAACGCTCAATTTAGGCCTCCGGCGAACCTTTTGCTGGCCTTTCATAATCGCTGCCGTGCCTTTCGCCATCATAGGCATAGACTTTCTTCAACGTTTCGACCTCATCGTCGACGCTAAAACGAAGAAGCTTATCGACTCTAGGACACAGCTCATTGTTATCGGGACTAGCACCAACGTGGCTGCTATCACTCCCATCCGTGTCCTACCTCAAGCTGCACAACCTTTTATAGAATTTTTCAACATGCATCCTAAACTCGTTCGCGTCCTGAACAACTTGCCTCCTGTGACGTCAAACGTCATGCATCACATCTGCACTAAGGGCCCACCTGTTTCATGCCCGCCCTCGCCGACTAGCCCCGGACAAGCTCAAAGCTGCTAAGGCGGAATTCGAGCAAATGCTAGAACTGGGAATCATCCGCCCGTCCAAAAGTCCATGGGCATCACTATTACACATGATACCGAAGAAATCCGGTGACTGGCGCCCTTGTGGTGACTACAGGGCACTTAACAAAGTTACCGTCCCGGATAACTACCCCATTCCGCACATGCACGACTTGACTTCAGCTCTAGATGGCAAGTCTATCTTTAGCAAAGTCGACTTAGTTCGCGCCTACCATCAGATACCTGTCGCGCCGGACGACATTGCTAAAACAGCAGTCATCACGCCATTCGGCCTATTCGAGTACCTCAGGATGCCTTTCGGCCTCAGCAACGCTGCACAAACTTTTCAGCGTTTCATTCATGAGGTAACGCGAGGACTCGAAGGCGTTTATGCTTATCTAGATGACATACTTATCGCCAGCTCTTCTGATGAAGAACATCTTCATCACCTCGACGCTCTCTTCCTACGCCTAACCCAGCATGGGGTTACCGTCAACCCCGATAAATGCGAGCTTGGCCAAAGCTCCATCGACTTTCTTGGCCACCGCATATCCGCCTCTGGTATTGAAGCTCCGCCAGACAAAATCCAGGCACTGAAGGACTATCCTGCTCCCAGTTCCTTCAAACAGTTACGCCGATTCCTTGGCCTGGTCAACTATTATAGACGCTTTATACCTAACTGCGCGAGCATTGTTCAACCAATGACTGACTTGCTGCGCGGTAAACAACGGTCTTTTCATTTAACGACGACGCTAGATTGGCTTTCGAGAAGCTCAAAGACGCTATCTCCAACATAGCGCTTCTCGCACATCCTGACACGTCTGCACCACTCACACTGACAACTGACACATCCGACACTGCCGTCGGTGCAGTTCTTCCACAACTCATCGACCATCGATGGATACTTCTAGATTTCTTCTCGAAATGTTTACAACCTGCCGAATTGCGTTACAGCACCTTCGGTAGGGAACTGTTAGCTATTTACCAAGGTGTCAGACATTTCCGTCACCATCTCGAAGGTCGACATTTTACAGTCTGCGCTGACCACAAGCCATTGATCTATACAAACAATGGCGCAACGGACAAGTATTCTCCGCGGGAAACTAGACACCTAGACTACGTTTCTCAGTTTACGACAGACGTACCACATGTCTCGGGTGCTCTCAATCCCGTCGCGAATGCGCTTTCACGCATTCAGCAGATCACCTTATCGCCTGGCACCAACATTAATCTAGCCGCTATGGCTGCTGCCCAACAAGCAGATCCCGACATAAGCAAGCTACTACGCAACACCACTGAGACGATCACCACTAATCGACTCAATGCAGCCTTCCTCGACAAGTCTGACTCTTTGGTGCAGCAAGCACCTTCACAGCCTGCGCCATCACAGCTCGCACCGCAACCTCAGACGAGTCAGTCCGGTCCAGCAGAACCGACTACCTCAACCGACAGCACTCCTACTCGCCCTGCTATCAATCGACGCGGTAGGAAGCTCAAACCCCCAGTTCGTTTTTCGGACTTCGTTCGCACTTACTATTTTACATAGAACGTGCCTTTGAAATTTTCTGCTCTTACCAAGCGTTTTCGAAAAGCCACAAAAAATATCAAAACCTCTTGGAACTATCAAAGAAGAGCAAAACCTTTTGAAAACCAAGAACAGCTTTGCATCTTTTTCGCTTTACACTCCTTTGTGTGTGGCTTTGCATTTACGCTTCTTTTTCATTTTGCTTTCCATATACACCGCCGGTTGGTTGCACCTCGGTTTCACTTTTCGCTGGATCTGCGCACGTCAACTGCAAGTGGAACGAACTTCCTGTTCAACCGCATTCGTGAACTTTACTAACTGTCCCCCCACAAACAGTTTTTCTTACCGATTCGACACCGTAGGGAGGACACGGTGGGAGCCCGCTAGGGTCCGATTGCATGCTTCTCCCCCAGCACCTGCATCAGGTTTCACAACCTGGTCTCGCAGAAGGCTGGTCCGCGACGCACAGTCCTCACGTAGATCGAAGGTCTGCTTACACAGTCCCTTCTGGGAGAGGGCTATGTAGCAGTCTGGAGATTTCCCGGTTTGCCTGTGTAAAATTCTAACTAAACATATTTCACGTACATACATATTTCATGTACACCTAGGCAACCGGTGTGGTTTGTTGAACTGCTTGCTGAGTTCGAATGCTTGACTTGCTCATCGCCATTTTTGCTTGGCGCTCGTTTCGGTTGCAACTCGCGACTGCCCTGTGTGATGTGCATCCTCCGTTCCCCTAGCTAGAGCGTCCACGGTGTTGTTCTTTTATAGCTAGATACCAGGGAATGCTTTACTGTACCAATAAAAGTTTCCCTGAAACTCGATCCGTCTTCTCGAATCGCTCTCTGGACTTCCGGTACAGGCGACCCTCTAAAACGGTACGAAAATTACAACCGTTATTTGCACAGTTCGGTTCACCAAACACCTTGGTTTCCGATAACGATTCGTAATTTATCTCCGATGATGTTGACGTATTTTGCCAGTGGAATTGTATCAAACACTGCCGGTCACCTCCGGGGCATCCACAGTCCAAAGGGTAGACAGAAAGCTTCGTGGATAGCACCAAACGTTTACTGCTAAAGCTGCGGAGGAAGGACCCACAGAGGAGATCATACAGCTGGTCTTGTTAAGTAATCTGGTCTACGCAATATCCCGATCTACCAGGCGGTAGATCCCCAGCGGAAGCCATGTCCGGGAGTGAAACATGTCCTCCAATGTATGCAGTACGCCTTAAGGTTACGCAACGGCTACTGGTGTCCGGCGTGTACAGACGTTTTCTACTAGGGGAGCCGGTGTGTGCGTTGGATGCATGACCGAATTACCAAACCTGGCAACCTGCAGTGGTATGATAAGGAAAATGCCCTGTGTTGTACCTGGTGTCTGTCGCAACGTCCTCTGTCATATGACACGTTTATCAGCGACGTAAACGACGGATCGAACAAACAATCACTTCTACTTTCCAGTTGCCGTTTGATTTATTGCTGGACACGTTTGAACTACCAAAATTGTGGGGCGTATTGAACCGACAGACACGTGCGCAGAGCCATGCGACGGAGTCAACGGGAGAACTATGCGGCCTACTAAACCTATACAACTTATACAGGTGAACTCAGCGCTTCATTCGTATGAGTCTGGAGAATGTGTTTTCAAAGAGGGATATGGTACAATAGGCAATTTGGTGCCTTAAAAGTACAATGCCGTCCCACACACCTTACCGTGAATTTCACTCTCACTCAACGGTCCACTGTGGTTCATACCCATCAGGCCGCCTCCAGTCCGAAACACACACCATAACTTTCGTAGTCGGCTGTCTTGTCCGTTCCATGTTACTTGAGATCTGGTCCATACTCTGTCCGGTGCGGTGAAAGTCTTTGTTCTGACGGCCCTAAGCCCCATTAACCGCAATTATAACATTTAGTTGAGCGACTATGCAGGATCGAGTTTGCGTGCCGTTCCTGGCCATATGTCCGGTTTAATGACGGTGCATTAGGAATTCGTAGACTATGGGAAGATTGCATCGCTCCGAAACAATGCAGTTGCATCTGATGGACGGATGGCGTACAACGGCAATGAACAAGTATATTCCCTAGAGGTCCTGTGAAGTCCTCTCAAAGTTCAGTTAACCAGTGTTATTGTTCAAGCCTTTGGTAGGTGCCCCACACAAGGTTTAAGGTGTAGCTTCCTGGGAGCTGCTTACCTGCGGGTACATCTTACGTGTTTGATATTTATGTGCTACAAGCGCTGGCAACTCGTAATTTTTAGGGCAGCGTATGGACTATGTTGACCTAATTGCGACCGGAAGGTAATTCATGTTTTCGAGTCCGACAACACTGAAGTGTGACAGGTAACGCTCAGTCTGATGTACGCAC